CCACAGTCCTGCAGCGAGTCTAGCAGATGGGTTACACCGGGTTGCTTCCTACAACGAGATCGTAACTTTAGAACTACCAAACGCCGGGAAAAATTCAGGAAGTGTGTGACATTTACATAAACAAACTTGGGTTACTCTGGAACAGTTTCCTTTGCAAAATTCAATGCTGATTGCTGAGTAGATTAAGTGTAATAAATGAAGAATTAATAATCTGAGGACTATTTATAAACCTTTGGATCTAGTTGCACATGCGACCATCTGCATATTGCTCGAGGCCATGTTTTATTTAAACAAAAAGCCATTTGAGAGGATTAACAGGAGAAACAGCAATAAAATGAAGTACTGTGCCCAGAGTAGCACAGCCACAGGTACATGTTTTGCCTGCACCAAGGACTTCACACCGTGGGCAAGGGGAGCAGCTGCACCGGCACAGGGCTGCTCGCTGGCGCAGACCACCAGTGCCCCCAAGTCCGCGATGCCACACACCTGCGGCTCCGGCACCTGCCACCCCGTTACCAACACTATACCTTGGCTAAAGGGGTTTTCCTCTCCCCAGTTTTTGCCTTCTGCGCAGCTCGCTCTGCCTCTTCCACAGTAACCTGGCAATGTCGGATCTAACTCAGCAGCCCTGCACCACTGACACGCACCACCGCCACGGACCCCCGGGCTTCACACCAGTGGGCTTCCTCCTCCTTTTCACAAACACTAAATCCTGCATGAGTTCTCTGCTCTGTACAGAGACACAGCACGCTGGCTTCAGGCACCGAGGTTACCAGCAGCTGAGCAGCAGCTCAGAGGGAAGCTGCAGACGGGGTGTAGGTGCCGCCGGTGCTCCCCTTTGACACTGCGCCCCGCTTGGTGCAGCTGCAAACCCACCTGGCACCACAGTGACACTTCTCTGCTTCCTTTCAAGGTCAGGGGAGATTGGATGGAGCATTGTGCTCTTTTTCCAGTGAAAAAAAGTTAGAGTACTTAAAAAGAGCTTATGATGCCGGCGTGAGGAACATTGAGATGGAGTCCACCGCGTTTGCCGCCCTGTGCGGGTTGTGTGGCCTAAGAGGTGAGTTTTCCCCCCGTGGCCGCCCCACAGCCCAGCTCCCGCCTCAGCCCGGCTCGAGCGCTCGGTTCAGAGC